GGGGCGGGGCGGGAGCGGGCCGCGCGCTTCCTTTGTGCGCCACCGAGCCCCGCCCCCGCCCCGGAAGGCGCGGCGCGGCCCGCGGCGCGTTAGGGACGCCCGGCTTTCGGTTTAGGGAGGCTGGTGTCGCACCACGAGGGCGGCTGCCCTCGGCCCAGCAGACGTCCCGCAGCGGCGGGGTGCGCAGCTCACTGTCTGGGGGGCCTTGGCGGCAATCGTAATAACGACGACCACCAGGAATTGGGTGTTCAGTGTGTGTCAAGCCCTGCGTGCACTCGCTCTCCCGTACTGTTCACAACAATCCCCCCAGCAGTCATTACCCTCCCCACTGGGAACCCAGCACCGGAGAGGTGAAGTAATGACCAAGGGGACCCAGTCACACTTCCAAAAACGGCGGTTAACCGAGGAAATAGATACGAATGGCCTGCCATGCCTGGGGCTCAGAATGCTAGTTCTCTTCCCCAAATCCACTGGCTTAACCTGAACCGTCATGGCGAAGTACATTCATTCAGTAAATATGCTAGGCCACCCCCACAGGAGCTTCACGCACCCGAGGGCTGCTGGAGAGACGACGACCGGTTTCTCGGTTCCCGACCTCTCTGTTCTCATTTCCCATTTCTTGCCTTTCTCAGCGTTTAAACTCATTTTCTCTTTCTTCTCCACCCTCCGTTTTCCCTCAGGCCTCGCCCCTTTTTGTTTCCCCGTTTTACATTTATTTTATATTCTCTAATGTTTATTTCTCCCCCTTTCTCTTTTCTCCATTCCCCTTTTTTCCCTCTACTGTTTTCAAAGTTCCGAATCCCTTTTTTATTAATATTCACGTTCTCTTCCGCTCTCTGCCTCTGCATTTCTTACACTTTTACATTTTTTCTTTTTTATAAACTGAGGTAACATGGGATTGGACTTCTCTCTATTCCCCAAACATGCCCAGAGTTTCCTGCCTCCTCACCTTAACTTCTACTAGTCCTTCCTGAAAGGCTCTTTCCCTAACTTTACACGTCCAGGTCCTACCTATCCTTCAAGTTCTATCCTCAAGAATAGAAGTTGGCAAGCGTTTTCTGAGAGGGAACCAGATAGTACGTATTTGAGACTGAAGGCTGTAAGGTCTCTGTCGCAACTCAGCTCTGCGGTTGTAGTATGAAAGCAACCACAGACGATATGTACACGAACGAGTGTGGCTGTGTTCCAACAGAACTTTATTTCTGGACACTAAAATTTGGATTTCATATGATTTTCATGTATTATGAAATAGCATTCTTTTGATTTTTTTAAAATACATTTTAAAACGTAAAAATCATTATTAGCTTGCGGCTGTACAAACACAATGTGATGGATTTGGCCCTTGGGCTGTAGTTTACCAACCCCTACTCTAGAACAATGTCACTTCCTCCCTGAAACCTACCCTAATAATCTCTAGTTGGCAGTCATTTTTCCCTCTTTGTAACTTTGAAAGCATTTACCTAAAATCCTTCTATGGAATTAATCACATTTTATTTACTTATTTATTTTTTTGGCGGCTGGCCAGTATGGGCATCTGAACCCTTGACCTTGGTGTTACAACACCACACTCAAACCAGCTGAGCAACTGGCCAGCCCACCATTTTAGTTTTTTTTTTTTTTAAAAAAGGTGACCGGGGCCGGCCCGTGGCTCACTCGGGAGAGTGCGGTGCTGATAACACCAAGGCCCCGGGTTCGGATCCCATATAGGGATGGCTTACCGGTCATCTTTTAAAAAAATAAAAAATAAAAAATAAAAAAAGATGACCGGTAAGGGGATCTTAACCCTTGACTTGGTGTTGTCAGCACCACGCTCAGCCAGTGAGCGAACCGGCCATCCCTATATGGGATCCGAACCCGGGGCCTTGGTGTTATCAGCACCGCACTCTCCCGAGTGAGCCACGGGCCGGCCCAACCATTTTAGTTTTTATTGTAATTTTTTTCCTGTGTATTTTTCATCTTTCCCAGCAGAACTTAAGCTCTTTGAAGGTAGGGTACATACTTATTTCCCTCCCATCCCACAGTGCTTTGCACAGAGCAGGCATTCTAACATACATAAAATGGATAAATATTTACATCCTGAGTGGCTGGCGATTCTTTCCACTGTGCAAAGCTTACTTCTCTCATGAGATAGGTCCTCAAGCACAGAATGCTTGTTATGTGTACATCGCCTTGATTAGATTTCAGAATTAGATTTATGAGAGCTTTATGGACAAGATGGAGAAAGGCAGGCAAGTCAGTTCACTTAGGGGGTGCTGGGTAACAAATAGTTGAAGAATGTTGACTAGCACCAGCCTGGAGACAGGGAATGTATCCTCAGCCAAGTCATATACAATACTTATATCAGCAAATTGGTAAAACATGAAGAAAACATGCTTTATAATTTATGGGTGGCAAAGTTAAGCAGATGAGTTAGAATAATGGATAACTGAATTCCAATATAAAAGATTCCAGCTCTACCACTTATTCCCTCTCTGCCTCAGTTTTCTTGTCTTTAAAATGGGGATAATAAAAGTTCCTACCTCAGAGGGTTATTGTCAGGATTAAATGAGGAAACATATGTTAAGCTTGGCAGAGAGGGTTCAATAAAAGTTAGCTGTTAACTATTACTATTTTCTTGGTAGGCTGGAACTATGGGCTAAATTCACAAAATAACATTTAACAGATATAATTAATTATATTTTGGTTCAAAATATAAATTATATACGTTTGAGACTGAGGAGACCTGGCATGATAGTGGTTCATGTTAAAAGAAACCTCGAAACCCCAAACCCAAACTAAACCCAGCCCTTTGGAGTCCAGGTGACATAGTGCTCTGTGAACCAACAGCATCGTTTCTGTGGAGTCGGAGGAGTTAACGTGGTGCCGTCGGTGCAGGTGCACCATCCTGAAGGAGGGGAAAGGAGCTATTCTACTAGCAGCCAGAGTCATGGTGCTGCCTTTTCACAGCTGTGTGACCTGGAACCCCTTTAAGCTTTTGTTTCTTCCTCTGAATAATGGGATAATAACATTTATCTCTCAGGGTTATCGTGAGTGAGTAAAGGATTTAAAACAGTACCTGGCACACAGTAGGTGTTCAACAAATTTTAGCTCCCTTCCATACCATATGGATCTAGGAAACAATCCTGCCCTTTGACAGGCTTATAAAGGCTAGTGGCTTTTTATATGTGGAATTAATATGCTTAATTTTGGGGATCACACTTTACAAGAATTAATGAAAAGGTAGATATGGATAGACAAGCATGACCAGAATGGTGGGAAAGGAGGTCTTGACATGTTACAGGTAAAAAATGAAAAAAGTCTCAGATATTCATTCAGCCTGCAGATTTTCTCTTTTTTTAATGGGTGGGACGGAGAGCCAAGAGACATGACAACTGTCCACAAACGCTGTATGAGATGGACTCTGTTACAATTCACAAGACAGAATCACCACCAATGGTGGCAAATTCCAAGAGAGCAGGTTTTGGCTTAATTTGAAGAGCAGCTTTCTGATAATTACAGCAATTCCCCAATGGAATGGGCTACTTTTCAAAATGGTGAACCCCTTATCACTGCAAGTGTGCAAAGAGAGAACAGCTGAACTCCTTCCCGTCTTTTAAATTTTAATGTTCTTTCTCTGTATTCCTTTGCTTTCCTTTTTCTTGATCCCATCCCCTAATCCTTCCAGAACCTTTATAACCTTTTTGCCCTACCTTGTCCCAAAGGATTTTTCTTCTCATTTCTCCTTCAATTTCCAAACTCTTTTTCTCTTTGCTCTCCCCACCCTGCTCCCAGCACACACTTAGCATGACGACTGGAGCTGCCTCCCTGAGTTGTAGGGGTCCATGACTCAGACTCTCACTAACATCTGGGCTTAGGCCACTGTGCACACTGGCAGAGAGGGGAAGGAAAGCAAATGGATCACTGCAGAAGGCAGAGGTACTGCTGTGACTCTCCCATCAGGGTGGAGGGATCTGGCAGAGTCTCCTGAAACCCAAGCCATGGAGAAGTTCACTTGTAACTGAGCCCTCATAGGCTCACAGCTGGGGATCCCAGGGCTGAGCACTGTACCCTCAGAGATGCTTTCTATGAGCTGAGTTCATTCTGAATCCCCTTCTAGCTCCCCCTAACCATTTCCCTTATTTTTGAGATATGGCAGCCATCTTGCCACAGAATTGTGACAATTGAACACCTGCCTTGACTCTCAACTTGGCACATGTATATGCAGATACATCTGACACCAATGTCATGTAGGCCTCAGAGTCTGGCTCTAGAATTTTCAACTCTCCTTTTCTTTCTCTATGCATTTTTATGCTTATCTTCTGGGTCCCCTTTCTTTATCCCGGGTTCATCTTCTTACTTCCCACTTCTGTTTCTAACTACCCAGCTTCCTTGTTGTATCCTTAGTTGCAATAGTTTACTTTCCCATTCTACATGCTCAAGTGAAATGTGCCAAGGGATAACGAGGAAGGCCAACTACCTCCCCTCCTCCAAGGGCCCCACTACGCTTCATACCGTGAGCTGGGGACTGCTGGATCTTAGGGCTCTTGGGTACCGGTAGGCCACCAGGCATGGCAGTGACAATGGCTTGCTGATGTGGTGATGGGCCAGACTGAGTCACAGGCACATTCTTCTCCCCAGGTACCACTTCTTTCCAGTCATCTGGGGCACACTGCTGGGGCTATTAAGAGACAGGACAGAGAGATGGTCTTCTCATAAATTGCCTCTACATTCTTGGATACCACCCTTGTTTCCATGGAACTTGGGAAGCAAGCAAGGACTTTGAAATTCAGTCTCCTCAAATTAGGGAGAGCCCTCTCTTCTTTCCTGGAATACCCAGAGATGACTTCGACACTCAGCCTCCCCAGAAACACATCTAAATGGGGGCTGTGGGATTGATGGCCTGAGCTGTGGCCTTCCCACTGGCTCCCTAGACCTTGGGATCAGCTTACTCACCACTGGCGAAGCAGGCTGGAGTTGTAAGATGACAGCTGAGGTGTGCTGGAACCTGCGTTGAGGGGTGTGGGACACCCCCTCAGGATGTCCATTCTGAGGTCCAGAGTCTGGAGTGGGAGGGTGACATTGCTGACTGCTGCCAGGCTTATGCAGACTGGCAGTGGGGCACTGGAGTGGCAGGGTGTGTGTCACTGGGCCTAGTGGCATGGCATGGGCTTCTGAGCTGGGCTGTAGGGCCAAGCTCGAAGGGACTGAGGCAAACTGGGGCTGAGACTGGGCTTGGAGCACAGGCTGTGCTTGCTGGGTCTGCTGCTGCTGCTGCTGCTGCGGTTGTTGCTGTTGCTGTTGGATCACAAATTGGTGCTGCAGGTGCTTTGATGATGGCTGTGGGAGGAGCTGGTGTGGCTGTAGTTGAGCATAAGCTGAAGGGCGAAATACCAGGTTAAACAGCAGGGCTTGACCTCATCTTCTTCTGTGTCCCCCAACTGTGCCCCTCCCCATCCAAATAACAGTGGCTTCCCAAACTCAATGCCTCTTGCTTTCATCCCTTTCATCTTTCACATAGAGCCTGGTCTGGTCATTACCATGGCCCAACACACTCTCTTCTTGCTTTGCTCCTATGCTGAAACACTGGGCTCTTTGGGCTGCCCCTCAAAGCTCAACTCAAAACTCACCTCCTCCGTGAAGCCTTCTTTGGCCATTCCACCTGTTCAGAGAAACGCTGGATTCTACACGTCAGCTTCTCTCTCTCTCTGTTCCATGTCTTTCACTCACTGTTCTCTGTGCCTGCAATATCTGCAACCACCTGCCCCCCACCTCCAACCCAGCTCTGCGTGGCTAGTCCTTATCTGACCTTCTGGCTCTGCTCAGGCTAGGCCTCCTTCGGGAAAAGCCAGCAGACACAGCAGTCCTCAGACCCTGGCATTGGGCAGACCAGGGCTGGACTACCTGTTCCTTTTGTTACATACTGTGGGAGCTGGGACTAGCTACTTAACCTCTCTGGACCTCAGCTTCCTAATCTAAATATTGGAAACAATTAGAGTTTCTGCGTAGAAAGTTGTAAGGATAAAATAAGAAAAAACTGTAAGAATGAGAGAAAATGACTAATGTGCACATAGTCATTGCTCAATCATTTCTAGCTATAATTATAAATATCATTTCACTCTTGGCTGAAGTTCTCCAATTATCCTGGGCATACCTCTATCATAATAATGTTTACTGTGGTTGATTATAATTGTTTATTTATCTTCCCTTCCAGATCATAAACCCCTTGCGGTCAGAAACTATCATGTATCTCTTTTTTTTTTTTTTTTTTTTTTAAAAAAAGATGACCGGTAAGGGGATCTTAACCCCTGACTTGGTGTTGTCAGCACCACGCTCAGCCAGTGAGCGAACCGGCCATCCCTATGTGGGATCCGAACCCGTGGCTTTGGTGTTATCAGCACCGCACTCTACCGAGTGAGCCACGGGCCGGCCCTATCATGTATCTCTTTATCCAGAAACTAACATACTGCCTGACATTAGATGAGTTTATTTACAAGTAAATAAACTTATTGTCCTGATCTGGAATTATTTGTTGCCATGGGTTGCTAGCTTTATCTTCTATTTCAACCAGGCTGACTCTTTGAGGTGAGGATTCTTACATATTTTAGTAATCCCTTCAGTGTTTAGCTTGTGCCTTGTACATAGTAAGGAGTCAGAAAATTCAGCTCAGAGATTGTTCTCATGCAAATCACTCTCTGTTTAGTGGCATCCAGGCCAGCTTAGGATGAGGGCAGCTCAGCTGAATCTGTCCTGCCTAAAAGCTGCCCTGCAAAGAGATTCCCACAGCTGGAGAGCTAGCAAAAAAAGACTGTGCCATGCAAATGCACAGAGGGCCACAGCTGGAAGCTCACAAATGGATTTTTACAACCAAAGGCTCACAGCCAGTAAGGATAAAGGCAAATTCTGGGTCCTGAACTAACATTTTTAAAGGATCCTGTGATGCTACAGGTGCAAAGTAAGCAAATTTCAAACTGAGTTAGAGGAGATACCTCCCTTCTTGAATTTCGTCTATTTACAGGCCAAGTTTCCAACTATCTCATCATAGCTCAAACATGGAATTTCAAGCAGAATTCCAATAGGAATGGAAAGGAAAGGACAAAAACAAGAGGTGTTACAAAGAAAAAACAAAATGGTCCTTGGTGACTGTTGTAGTCAGAGAGGGGAATATGGGTGGACCACAGGTTTAAGTCTGGATGACAGTGAATGATGGAACTGGGAAATCTGAACATCAAGGTTTTGAGGGAAATGTGTTGGGTTTGAGGTTATGGTGGAACCTCTGTGGAAATTGCCAGTGGGCATTTGGTGATTATATATTGCCCCTGGTTCTAATCTAAGCCCTGTCTCCTAAACCCACATTAAGGAGCTCAGAATTTAACAATCAGGCGTTTTTAAGATGACTGTTGATAAGGCACCTGAGAGAGACTGCAAATGCCACCTGGTGACTTGTTAGGCTCCAGAGGCCAAAATGATCTGTGAATGGTGGGCATCATCACAGAAAATGCAACCCAAACCTTTTCTCCCTTAACAGAAAATCATGAATTCTTGCTTCTGCTATCGTAGAAAAACAGTTTAAAGTTCAGGATTTATAATGTGGAAAAAAAGGTTAGAGAAAAAAAAGGTTCTAAATCTATAGAGCATGGAGTATAGTTAGGGACAATATACACATATATATTTTACCAAAAGACTGGAGAAGGGAACTGCTGGCCTCCTGGCCCTCTTTCCCGTGCTTCCCTTCTATCCTATTCTCTCTCCCATCCTGTGCTGCTCATGTAAAACTGAAGGCAGTCATTTTAGGACAAATGCTAGTATACACCAAGGCTGGAAATAAAGCTCATAAGGCTTAAATAAGATCATAGACTGAAGGCCCCCAATGTATTCTGGGGGAGTGTACATCATTAACCTTTTAAGGTTAATAAAAAGCAAAGACTATGATTTAACTCCAGCATTATCCTGAGTCAAAAAAATCCTTTTGTTTAGAGTATTGCAATAACTTTCTAACTGGTCTTCCTGATTCCGGTTTCCTTTCACTATAATCCAGCTTACAGATAGTGTGCAAATTAATCTTCCTGTGCACAGATCTGATCCCTGACTAAAAACCGTCAGGGACTCTCCTTTGTCTACAGTTGTCTAAAGCCCTTGGCATTCAAGATCTCTTTACGACATAAACTAACCTTTTAATTTTTATTATTTCTTTGACCTAAGCAATCTTTACTGTTCACTGTCCCCTTTGCAGAGCATATGGCTCTTCTCATACTATCTGGAGTGCCACAAATCAAATCCTAGTCATCCTTCCCCGACCCTTACAGCCACCAGGACTCTTCCTTTCTCTGAGCTGCCACTGAGGCTTCTCTGCTTTGCACTGCCCTCAGAGACACAGTGTGCCCAGCAGTTCAAATGCTTGGATTTGAACCCCAGCTCTGCCGCTTACCAGGTGTGTGATCCTGGGTAAGTTACGTGACCTCTCTGTGCCTGTGTCATCATCTTTAAAATGGGGGTAAGGATGATCCCTATCATAGTTATTTCAGTAAGTGACTTATCTCCATTAGTAGGCAGAATCTATGTAAGTCATTTGCTTCCTCCAAAGTACTTTGAATTTAGTAGGTGCTCAATCAGTATTGCTGAATGAATGAATGAATGACAGCATGTTGGGACTCCATTTGTGGGACTTGTTTGTCCTACAAAACCTGTTCTCTTAAGATCCAAAGCATGGGTTGAAATAGGTGTAGTTTTCACACACCACTTTGGCTTATCATCATTCTGGTTTATTGAAGACCCTACACCTGTCCCAACCTTTGCTCACCGATTTCCTTTACTAACCTTCAATACAACCTAACTGATCTGCACATTGTTCTATAAAACTTGATGCCTTTTTCTGCCTTTTCGTCTTCAATTTCAGTACTTCCATTTTCTGGAACGCCTTCCTTCTGCTTCAACCTAAGGTTTAAGCTTCTTTGGCCCAAATCAGTCCTGTTTTCTCCCTGTTTGCCTTAATCCTCAGTTATGGTTTTTTTCTTAGAATTCCTGCATGTTTTGTGTGTTTGTTTGATTCATTTGTGACTTAACATGTGCTCTCTAGTTTACATATTTCATTGATTCTTAAACATTGATAATTCTCCCCTGCCCCCCTATTTTAACAGCTTTTGAATTGGGATGCATATTACAGCTGATGATATGTCAGTTTAATTGGCATTTTTTTTTTCTTTCTTAGAGTTAATGAAATAATGGTGCATCTTACAATCAGAGATGTCTTAGTTTAAATGAAATGGGAATGCTTTTTCTGTGTGTGTGTGTATTTCCTACCTTTCCAATTAGACTGTATGCTTTTTGAATCAAAGACATGTCTTATTACTTTTCTTAATTGAAAAGATGTGCTTTAATTTAACTGGAAGGTTTTTATGCTTCTTTTACCCTCCACAGTATCCAATATAATACTCTACACGTTTGTAGATGCGCAGCAAATGTGTGCTGCTGATCAAGGTAAGATCAATTAATTCTTCTCTCCCTCCTGTGCCCTTCCACCTCAGTTTGGGGGTGGTGAAGGAAGGCATTCCCCACTGAAGCCATGATACCAGAAGAGGTCATGCCCCTCCCCCCTACAGCTAGGATGGGTTATAACAGTTTGTGAAATATTAATGCACAGAAATCTCTCTGGACCTTTCTTTTTATTTTTTTCTAAGACCCAGAAGCTTAATTTCTCCCCACACTTATTTTGGCTCTTCCCACTGCTAGAAAGTTTGTAGCTTATAAGAAAGAGAAGGGGTTGTTTCCATGTACTTCAACCACAGCTTTGGAAGGCCCCATCAGCACTTTCTGTTATGGAACAGGGGAGGGGCAGGCCCAGGGCCTCTGCAAATTAGGGCCTAGCCCAAAGAAGAGACTCCAGGCAATGCTCAACTTCCTGGCTGGTGCTCTAACCTTGAATTGCCTCCTTAGAATCTGAAGAGGCCAATTCACTGCTTCCAGACCAGTTGGTTGTTACCAACAAGAGGCTTAAGGTCTCCCAGGCAGAAGAGCTGACTGTCAGGGATCACTGACAGACACCCTTCATTACACCTACTGCTAGAATTGATCGGTAATGGATCTCTATTGATCTCAAGGCTTCAAGTATGCAGGAAACAGCTCGCTGTCCCAGAAATGCTGGGACCCTTGCCCCAAAGTACATGGAAGCTGCAAGCATCCTGATCACAGGGTGCAGGCCTGCTTATGCACCTATTTTTCTAGGAGCCTACCATAATTGGCTAGAGTTGGGAGTTACCTGGTCTATGGGTGAGGGAGGATGCCTGTGGGAGAGCAATAGCCTATCTTTTTACTAGCCACTACTCTGAGATTTAGTGAGTTAAGTGAAGATATATTTTCAACCATTCATTCACTCAACACA